GGAGAGTTAAGGGAATTAAGGCTAAAAAGGTCACACAGTACACGCTGGGCTAGGTCAGATATTTTTCTCACCGTTCACTCCTGGTGTTATTTGTCTCTGCTTTTAAGAGAGAGGACTGTCGAGCTGCTTCCACATTTCCTTGGGGGAGGTTGAGACACGGGGACATGAAATTGGGACCCATATCAAAAGGATTCTGCTATTGGGCTGTAAAACTGTGAGGGCGCAGGAAGACAAAACTTGCATAAACTCAGAGCTGTGAAATGGCACTTGGGAGAGGGTCGCCGCCCTGCCCACGCCACTCATGGACGACACTCATTTTTGCCACATGCCCTCTGGGCCCTGTCACGAACTGCCCAGTTGGTTCTAGCAGCTACTAGTTAGCTGAACACATGGGACACAGAGGGGTTGTCCTCTGTGTGCTCGTGAGTAGATGGTTTGGATATCTCTCTGGGCCTGGTTCCCCCAGGCCTTGTATGTGAGGATTCACAGGAAGCAGACTCCTCTTTAAAAGGATGCTTATTTTTCCCTCTTATGCATGAAATCAAATTAAAAAACCCCACAAAAAATAAAAGCTAAAAATAAAGGGTTATTTAAAGAGGAAAATGGTTGTGTCTTTGGAGACTACAGTGAGCAAAAGAGGCTAGAGATAAAGGCAAGAAGACAGGAGCTGTAAAGCAAAAGGAACTCTCCAGGGGTTCAGGACAGGTTAAGTGTGACCCAGGCTGTAGTTCCGATAATATCGCACCGCAGGAATGTGGGCCGGCCTGGGGGTGGAGAGTAGGGAGCAGGCGGAGAGTCCATCGGCGTTCCTGATGAGTGTCTTCAATTAGCGTAAGTCCTTCGGCGGGATGAGCCGGTGGGAAGGAGGGACGTGAGCCTGGAAGGTCTAGTGAGGACGACTAGCGAGTTGGATACAGGACCCACGGCTCACGCCCAGGCTGACTCCACACGCTGCCTTCCCGCCAGGTGCCCCAGGGCCCATCAAGCCCCCACTTTGCAAAGGGAATTTACATCTTATTTGTGCCTGATGTTGAGTATTTTCCTCCTGCCTTTGGTATGCTCTGGGTGCCTCGTTTGCGTATATTTCTGATCCTCCAAATTGCAATGTTTACCTTACCTTGACACGTGAAGTCCACAGCTTGTCTTCCTGCCACAGCTGCCGGAGTGAGAGGAGCTGGAGAGGTGGCCCTGCCGGGCCTGCCAGCCCCCCTGCGCTGCTCGGGTTGCAGGGACCGCTTCCTTCCCTGCTACCGTGTGCTTTGATCATCCAGGCGCTTAAGCCATTTGCCCTTCCTCCTGTTGGAAAGGGAAAACTTACATGGAAATGGCTTCAATTTCCTCAGCAGAGACTCGGCGTTCTACCTGCTTCATCCCCTGCTCTCCACCTCCCAAGACACTGTCACCTCTCCCCGGTGGCGCCCCGCTTCCTCCTCTGCCCCCATAGTCTAGCCTCAGCAGCACACCCACAGGCCGCTCTGTGAATGATGATGCCATTGACATTGCGTCTCCGCTCAGCAGCCTGCATAGCTCCCCATTTCACTCCAAGCGCAAGCAAAAGTCCGTATGGAGATCTGTAAGTCTTCCTTACTTTCCTTGCCTCTCTGATTTCTTCTCCCACTGTTTCCCTCTCCACTCTTTCTTTTTTCAAGAGGACATACTACCTTCTACCTTACTGTGTATTTATTCAAAATGTTTATTGTTAATCTCTCTCTCCTGGCTAGAATGTAAACTCCACCAGGGCAGAAATCTGCCAATTTTATTCATGCTCCACTTGCCTAGAACAACGCCTGGCACATCCTAGGTGTTCAGTTAGTGTTTGTTGAATGAATATATGATTGAATTAATGAATAAACCTGTATTGAGAGAATTAAGTGAGCTACCTGGTAAGTTTTTAAAGGCTGGTGCATTTGGGAGGCATATTTTAGCACAGATTTAGAACAAAATATCTGCTAAGCTTCTAATATATGTCTGGGAATGTGATGAGAAGTACACATCATGGAAATTGCTTCTTCGTTCATTAATTTAACAAACACATATTGAGCCCCTATTAAGTAGCAAGCACTGTTCTAAACGCAGGGTAGAAGATAAATTATAATAATTGAATGTTCTAGGTACTGGGTCCAGTGGTGCCAGGTCCTCTGATTTTTTCTTTTAAGAGGAGCTGAAATCTGAATTTTTATATGAATCTCCCAATTTTTAAATTTTGATAACTAACTTACAATTTTCCTAAGTTTATCGTAACAGCCAAATTAAACATTTATGATGACCAAATGTTGCCTTTGGGACTGTAGCTTATAATACCTGCTATGTTTGAGGGATTGTGTGGCACTGATTCTAAAGAGGTGTGAAACTTCTAGATGGGTAAGTGGGATCTCACAGGCTGGGCAGGATCCAGGTGAGCTGTGGGAGGAAAGGAGGAAGTGGTATTTATGCTTCCCCCTTACCTGGGCCAGAGGTGTGGAGAGAGGCAGGACAGGCGGAGTGCTGAGGTAGGTGGGAGGTTGGAAGATGTGTATTTCATTATCCGTGCTGGCAAGAGCCTCCCTGGGCTGCACTGAATCATCCTTTCTAGGTTAAACTTATTGCGTGTGTCAGGATACAGGCCCAGCCGCCTAAACAAAGACAAAGGATTAGACAAGATGGAAATTTGTTTCTGCCGTGATGGTCTGAGTGTAAGCAAATTAGACCACTCCTCTTCTCTTCTTGCTTTGCCATGGCTCCTCCCATGACTGAAGATAGTCCACCTGTATGGTAGCCTCCCCCCCCCTCCCCCGCCGTCCCAGCAAGCAGGGCAAGGGTGGATGGAGAAAGCCATGTCCCTTCCTTAAGGGTAGGATCCTGACTTCGATCGTAGTACTTCTGTTCACAACCCATTGGTCTGAGCTTGGTGACGTGGTCATACCTAACTCCAAAAAAATGTAGTCTTTACCTGGGTGGCTTTGTATCAGCTAAAAATTATATTTTTATATTAGAAAAAGAGAGTGGGTGTTGCAGAATGTGCAGCAGTCAGCTGCATTTGCTCTTGTGGGCCTCAGGTTGCATGAGGTTAGGTATCTCTTGCTGTGCCCTCAGTTTTCTAGTAACTTTAGCACACCCTCCGAGCTCAAAAGGGAGGTGATATTTGACATTCATTTTTTCCTCTGTTAGACTCTTCTGGACCACTCTGCTTCTGGTTAGATCGGAGCAGCATGCTGTGTTTTGTTTTGCTTTGTGTGTTTTGTGTACATAGTTCATCTAGAGCAAGCAGTTTTGGTCTTGGGACCCCTTTACACTCTTAAAAAGTACTAAGGGCACTAAAAAGCTTTGTTTGTGTGACTATATCTATGACCATATTAAAAACTAAAACAGACATTTATAAACATATTCAAGTAAGCGTGGCATGAACTCAGACCTCTGGAAATCCCCACGATACAACTGTGAGAGATTGATGGGAAAAAAGCAAATAATGTTTCAGTAATATCATAAAAATGATATTGACCTCACACACCCTTTAGTAAGGTCTTGGGGATCTTTTCTACACTTTGACAGCTACTGATCAAGAGAGCATAACCTGTTTGTGTTGATTTTGGTCATTGTAACTTATTATAACTGATAAATGTTAGGACTGGGGATTAAAAAAAAATAAAGGAATTAAAACAGGACCACTGCCATGGAGTAGTTAATGGTAAAAAAAAAGTTTACTAACAAGTGTATAAACTTCTTTCATCTTAAATTTGAAAGGAGTTGATTTCTTTCTGTTTCTGAATTGTAGATAAATTTATGTGTGAGAGTTAATAGTGATTGGTTTCTGTGTACAGCAATTTAATACATTTTGGTGCTTAAGATTTATTGAATTACACATTTCATACATTTAGAAGTTCATTACAGAGAAGTTTGTTTGATTTGGGCCACCCAGCCCTGCATCTGTCTTTTCTCACTTGGCACATCCCACTGCCTTCTATGGAAGTGTAAAGAGCTATATATTCGCATTTCCAGCCACCCTTGCAGCAGGGCTGCAGGCATGTGACCTAGGCTCTGTCAGTCAGATACCTCCATCCCAAACTTTGGAATAGAAACTAGTGACATGAAGAAATTGAGGCAGCTCCACGTGTTTTCCAAGGCAGCAGTGGGTGTTGCTGGTGGAAGCTGCAGGCTCCCCAACCGGGCAGATGGGTGCTGTGTGATTTGGGGTGATCTTCCTGGATATGTAGCCTCCAAGCCAGACTTCTCTGCCCTTCCTGGAAATTTTTTTATTTTTCAATTACAGTTAACATACAACATTGTTCCTGGAATTTGTGATCTTTCCATTATCCTCTGAGTTCCGGAATCAATGCCCTTACTTACAAGAATCCTGCTCGATACATTCTCAAATGCAGTGTCTCTGGAAGTATTGTTTGGAAACATCATCTAGCAAACTCACCTGGGCCACATCCTAATGAACACTCGGTGCCATTGGTGGGCTTAAAACTGACAGATTCAGAATCCTCCTGGGTGAGTGATGAGTTCCAGGAGTCTGCATTTTTTAAAATTCCCAGGTTTATGTAATTTTTAGATAAAGTAAAATTTAAGAACTGCTGGTTCTAATGTTTCCAACTTTTTAAATGATTTGTTTTGTGTTTAAATATCTGAGTAACTCCAGAAGGTTTTACAAAACCCTAATCAGTGACTAGTAGCTCGTTCCTTTCTCTTCCCACCCAGCTCTAAATTCCCCTTAAGCCTCTTTGTTCTGTCTCTTTAACTCTTGTAATGTCTTTTTTTTTTCTTCTGGTTTATTTCTTCTCACTGAGAAATGGTAATTCCCCAAATGGGATTGCCGACATTCAATGGTGACAGAATTAACTTGGGGTTTCAACTACACCGTGACCGTGGCTCTCTCTAGGTCATTTCTTTCTTGTGCGTTTCTGCAGCCTGCAAGCTTAGATCTCCAGGGGTCACTGGAGGGGGTGAAGGGGAACGTCTAGAACATGCCAGGTGACTTTCCTTGAAGGGGTTTTCGGCCGTGGATTCAGGCCAAAAAAATAACACGGACGGGTCGAATGATCTGCTTCTGAGAGTGCTAGAATCACAGGCTGTTACAACTTGAAGGAGTGTGGCTTAACCCTTTCATTTCAAACGAGGAACTGAGGAGGGGATATGTGTCCATCATCGCATCAGTGATGAGTGGCGCATAAAGGCAAAGTAATTTTAGAGAAGTGGGAAGTGGTGATGCAAAGCTTGACCTAAACTAACGTAAAGAAGAGGGAAGCTAACGTTCGAGTGACTGTTTGAACTTGGGCACATTCACTTAACCTCTCAGAACCTTAGTTTCATCAGTTGCAAAACAAAGATTCTAATAATAGCTAACATTTATATACTATTGACTGTGCTGAGAACTATTCTAAGCACTTTATATGCTAATTCAGTTAATCCTCACAATTACGTGGCAGAGGTACTACTATTATTTATCCCATTTCAGACAAATAGAAAGGGTAGATAACTTACCTGCAGTCACACAGTTAGCATATTTGTTTTCTATTGCTGCTTTACAGGTTACCACTGGCTTCATGGCTTACAACAGGTGATTATACGTAGAATTCACTTCCCTGCATCTGTGGAACTTATGGGGGCTGAGTCTTCAAGGTCAGCAGGGGAGTGTCTCCCTCTTTGAAAGGTCTCACCTGATCATGTCGGGCCTACCCAGGATAATCTCCCTATAACAACAAATGATTCGTGGTCTTAACACCTTGCTGACCGGTCACAAGTATACACATGTTTCTGTGTCCCAGCATTGCTGACTGGTCACAAGATAACTCTTGTCTGCACTCACATTAATTTAAGTAATTTTAAATACCTTGCAAACCAAAGTAGCTGGCCACACTGGCCAGTTCTGGCTTGAAATAGCCGGTCAGCACATATCTGCAAAATCTCTTATCTTTGACATAAACATGAGAGTAATATCCCATCCATCACCTTTGCTATGTTCTGTTGATTAGATGCCAGACACAGGTCTTGTCCACACTCAAGGGGAGGGGAGTACACAGACCCATGGATTCCAAGGGGCAAGAGTCACAGAGTAATTTTAGAGTTTACCTTCCATATTTAGCAGGGCTTAGTTTAAGCCCAGACTGACTCCAGATCTTAGAGTCCATGGCCCCCGAGTCCATGCTCTTAACCACTGTGACTTTTTCACTTTGAAGAAAGAAAACCCACTGAATAACCTTGCAGGGTTCTGAGCAAGACAACACCCAGCAGACTCTTTCTGGGCAATAATTAATTCTGTTCATACCTCCACTTTTAAGAAACCATAGCCACCTGCAGTTTTGTATTTTCAGGAAGTTATTTCCAACGGTCTCTCTAAAAAACAGATCGTTAGAGTCATTTCAATTTGTTCATATTCTTCTGAGGCAGAAATAACCCTGGGGTTTAAGACTTGAGGCTGGAGTTCTTAAAAAAATAACCCGAGCTCTGCTTTTTTGTTTTTGAGACAGATGAAGTGATTGAGAAGAAAGAGTGAACACCCTCATTTTGTAGACAGGACACCATGGACCAGCCTTTTACTGTGAATTCTCTGGTAGGTAGCACCAACTGATATTTTACATATGGTTGGAAAACCCAAAAAAAGAGAACAGAAACAACCCAAATGTGAAATGAATCACAGTTACTTCAAAAAGTTTAGGCCTGGTCTTTTTTCATCCATCTGTGTGGTCCTTTCTTTTGAGGAAGTGACTAATAAAGCCATCTTTGCTAGAATTAAAAATAAATATTTTTCCACATGATTGTGAAGTGTTGATCTTATCTGGTGAGATTCCAGGAGTGTATTCCTTTAGCAGAACACCAGAGACAAGAATCTCAGAGGTGACTTTGCAGCAAGTCCATCTGCCCCTTCTTTGTGCCTCAACTTCACAGATAAAAATTGGATGTTTACCTTGTGTGGTAGTGACCGAGGAACACATTTTATATTTAACCCCTAAGTGTTGCTTTGGGATCTTAAGTAAATGTCTGCATACTTGAAACTCTTGTTTTTCTCACTTTTCCCCTTTCAGCCCAACACGGTGCACACTTTCTCTGGCTACATCTTAGAAGAAGCAGTGTGCAGGAGAGCAAATGACAGGGGCCTTGGGATCACGTGCGCTTCTTCTGTGCCCCAAGTCACCCTTCGAGTGTGCATACAGGCACATTATATAACCTCCATGGCCCTGTTTCTGTACTCTGTGCCTTATGACAGTTGGAAGCAATATTTTTCATGTGCCCAGCCTATCGTGGGGGTTTTATAAGTGGAAGGTGTCATTACCACTACCGTCCTCCTGACGACCCTCCCCAGCCTGCTCACCACAGCCCTCCGGGTAGCCCCGAGAGCACCAGGCACTGCATACCCTCGACACACAAAGCTCACACCGGAACACAAAGAAACAGAGGCCTGGTGCTTGCTCTGAAATAGGTGATCACCCAGCCTCTCTGTCTGCCAAGACAATCCTTCACAGGAGCTTAGTTGCTTTGAGCGTATGTTTGAAGGGTAGAGAATTGTAGGAACTTTTTCACTTTCTGACCCCGTGTTGTGGGATAATAAAGGCTGCCCACTTCTGCTTCTGCCGAGGGAAGAATCATCCTTATGGAGTGTCTTGTGTGGTTTTCTAAAACATATGTAGGAATAATTAACATTTTAGTGGACAGTCAATGTAAAATGAATGAATTTCTCATCTGGAAATTTTGTGTTTTCATCCAAGAACCTCACATGCAAATGAAACATAGACTGATGAAGACTTTAGGCTGTTTCCCAGTTTATCTCTGAAATCAATTTTAAATTTGGGAAGGATAGGACCATTCAGGAAAGGAAAGGTAAATCTTATTTTTATTTTCTGGGAAAAAGGTGATCTAATTTTAATCATGTTGCCCCCTTTTATCTTTTTCTCCTGCATTTGGTACACTTATTATTATTTTTAATATATCTTTATTGATTTCAGAGAGAGGAAAGGGGGGGGAGAGAGAGAGAGAAACATCAGTGATGAGAGAGTCATTGATCGAGCCCGCAACCCGGCCATGTGCCCTGACCGGGAATCGAACCCCGATCGCCTGGATCCCAGGCCGACGCTCAACCGCTGAGCCCGCCCGGCCGGGCTGGTACACTTATTGATTATTATTTGAGTTTTAAGGATCATGCTACAACACAACAAAATAACAGGGATGAATGGAAAATGATTCCTTTCCTTCAGGGAGTTCATAAAAAATCACTGGTACATAAATAATTATAATTCAGGTGGACTGTGTAGTGGTAAAAAATGGACAAATTACTTTTGTATATTCAGGAGGCTGGAAACCTCCTTTAGAAAAATCCCTAATTTCCATAGCTTTCCCCTCCCCACCAGTCATTTTCTGATGTCATCGGAGAATTTTTCTATAGCCAAATAAAAATATTTTCATTTAGTGCTATTCAGCTCTATAGGAAGCGTGGCTGGGGAAATGTGGAGGTGTTGCCGTGGTGTCTGAGGCTTCCCAGCTGGAAAAGATGGTGTCTGCTCAGGCCTAAGCCTCCAAGTTCACAAGCTCTGATCCCTGCCTCTCATGTGGGGAGCCTCCAACAGCGTCTCTGAAATTAGAAAGTCTCTCAGAGAATTAGAAGAGCAGCACTGCAGGGTTTGTGTAGAAGGGAGCGTGTGTTAATTTAAGAGGAAGTCACTTAGAAAAGGTCTGAGGATTGGTGTTGCTGCCAGTCACACCTCTCTGATTTCTGAATTCTGGACCAAGTGAAAATAGATTTAAGATGCCAGGGGAAGATCATAAGTGCACCCTTTACTCCTTGTAAATTGGACTTCAAGCATGTGGTATGTCTTATCCCTTCTGCTCTAAATTGAACTGGCTTCCCCACCCAGTCACAGGAGGGAGAGCTGGACACCTCCAGGGTGGGACCTTCAGGCCCTGAGAGCTTCCTTGCTGGGAAAGAAACAGGAAAGGGGAAACTCACCCACATTGCTGTAGGCCCCGTCAAAAGAGTGATAGAGGGTGCAAGAGGCGTGGCCTGCTTTTGACCTCATGGGGCCTTGAGAAACCCGGTTATGGCTCTTTGGTTATATATTAAACCTTTAGAAGCAAGAGTCGTCCCAGGTCTCTAGGGTTCTGTCTGCTATAAAATTACCACCCAAGTAGACCCGATGCCATTGGAAAAACTGCAGGTATCTAATTCACCACACCCTGCCCCTGAAACCTGGTTCAGTCATTCATGGCCAGACTAAAGCCATGTCTACCTTGATTTCTTTTTTAATTTTCTACAGACCTTAATCAAATGCTCCGTCCACACTGTAGTCAGACTTGCTACCTACCCTGACAGCCTGAAGGGGACTTGGGAAGCTAAATTTGTTCTGGGCTAACTCCATTCTTGGAGCATCAAAATATGGTAAAGTGGTCTAAAGCAGTGCTTCTCAAACTGACATGCATAAGTACCTCCGGGAAACTAGTTAACACTGCAAGGCTAACCCCAATCTTTTTAAAGATTTTACTGATTTTTAGAAAGAGAGAGACATCGATGTTCGAGAGAAAAACATTGATTAGTTGCCTCCTGCACGTGCTTTGCCCAGGGATCAAACCCGCAGCCTGGGTATGTGTCCCGACCCAGAATCAAATCCACCACCTTCTGGTGTACGGGACGACGACCGGGGTCCACGATCCAACCAACTGAGCCACACTGGCCAGGGCTCTAAGAGTCTTTTTAATGTTTTAAAAAAGCTGGAGGTGGAGGGGAGGTGTCTGTGTGCTTGGAAAGGCTTCTCCAGGACTTACTTGTGGAGTTTTATTCACTTGGAGAAGATGCAGGGAGGCCCTGAAAACTCCTTATTAAACTAGATGTATTCTGGAGTAGAGCTGAATCCTTACAGTAACCTCAAAGCTCTCTTGGAGACCCTTCGGAGCAGAAGAACGTGAGCTTTACCCTGGCAGGAATCTTTCCCTTGGTCAGCTTCGCGTAGCCCTGGATGGGAACATCCATTAGGAAAAGGAATGGATGATATTTTACCTAAAATGACCTAAACTATTTGCATTCCAGGAACTGCCCCATAATTATAAACTCCAAAACCTAAAAGGGGTCTTCCCTCAAAAAAAAAGTGTATCTTTTTGTGTGTTGAAGCAAAATGACGTTGCTTTTATCATCTTATTAAGTTTTAAGAAAAGCTTTCCTTAGATATTGCTGTCAGGTATTCAGTACAGGAAATGCATCCACAGTTTCAGTGACATTTCTTATCATCACGGTCCCAACCTGGCTCTGCAGAAGAAGCTGGCGGCGATGCCCGACCACACGGACGTCTCGCTGAGCCCCGAGGAGCGCGTGCGGGCGCTCAGCAAGCTGGGCTGCAACATCAGCATCACCGAGGACATCACGCCGCGCCGCTACTTCCGATCCGGCGTGGAAATGGAGAGGATGGCCTCTGTGTATTTGGAAGAAGGAAACTTGGAAAACGCCTTTGTTCTTTATAATAAGTTTATCACGTAAGTCTTTGAAGTGAGACACTTGGAAAAATATTGACGTGATGCTTTGGTGAGACGGTTTGGATGCCAGGAATGTTTTCATGTTCAGATCAGTTTTACAATCTCCAAAAACATTATATGTGGAGATTTTAAGATTACCAAGTAAATGTAGCCAGAGGCATCTCATATCATGGCTGAGGCTTCGGGATGGGAAGAAGGCCAGGGACGTGATGAGCACGGGGGTGTGAGATACCCTCTCAATAGGCCAACACCGTTGCATGCATGCCATGCCCTGTCTTTAATGATCTTCGCAAATAAAATTTCCTATTTTCGTGCCATTCTGCCCCCACAGACATGTAAGCTTTATGAGAGCAAGAGCCATATTGCAGCTCCATCTACAGCCCCTGAATGTGCCATTCACATCTGAAAAAGCTGATCTGATGAGTTGAGTCTGGGGGATGAGTTGTCAGTGGTAGGAAGGATCTGATTCTGGGATAGACTGTAACAGTCAGTTTTACATTCTAGTTAGTTTTTGTTTTGTCTTTTTTGAAACAATAATAATAACCTATGTATAGAGGAATTTACAAAATGTTGAGGGAAAGTGGCTGCCTCAGAACAGCCATGTGAAGATATCATACTTCCCATTAGATAGATATTGTTAGTAATATATCCTAGTTTAAGACTTAACCGAAATGGGATTTGGATTTTCCTTATCAGTTTGCCAGCTCACTTGTTGGGAAGATCTGTTAGCAATAATTATTTAATCTAAGCTGAAACCCTTATTTTTGTTTTAATGACAGTCACTTTTTGATTAATTTCACTAGTTCATTTGGGGAGTTAACCTGAGAGCATTTGAGAAGTCGATGGTTGGCAACATTTGGCCTACTTGGGAAAAATCAATTGTTTATGGAAAGTTAAACAATAAGTATGAAATTGGAGATTACCAATTGTCATTATAGCACGTTTTCCAAAAATTTTAATATCCTAACTAGTATAAGTTACCAGTTTTTTGCAATATTTCTTTTTCACTTTTTGCTAGAGTTACATGCATATTTCTATGGAATTGTAAGTGTGGTAAAGGGGAAAGGTCGCCATACTCTCAGTTACTGATTAATCAGAATATATGAATCCTCTTCTGTCATTAACCATGTGGTAATTTGTAATTCACTTACCTTCCATGGGCTTCAGTTCCTTATCTACAAATGACTTATGGATGAATATCTCCGAGGTTTCTTCAACTCAAAATGTTTGTGACTTTATTCTAGTTAAAAAGACTTAGGAAACTAACAATTTATGTCGCCTCTTTAAGTCTTAATTTTTCTCATTTGAAAATGAGAGTTATGATACCATTCCAGGTTACCTTACAGGTGAAATGATGAATGCCTATATGCTTCATAAACAACAGAGTAATTATAATGTAGCACCTGTTAGTTGATCAAAAATATATTTATAGCCCATCACAATCTATCAGTGAAGGGCTGTTCATTCCTTTAACAAATATTTATTGAGCACTCATTATGAGGTGGACACTATTCTACAGGCTGGGATACAGCAGTAAGAAAATCCAACGGAAACATTATCTTGGGGAAGCGTTGCTTTCACTTTACCTGGAAGTGATGCACCTGGTTTGCTCTGAAGATTTCCCTTTACTTCTGTTGTCCCTTGTTTCTCAAAAAGGCGATGAAAAAATAATTAACCTCTAGCACCTAATCCACTAGGGGTTCTGGCTGTCATTTCTCTTAGTTATGAAGTTTCAGTTAAGAGTTTTTGATATAAACACCATGGCGCTACTGATTCATGAGTGGTCCCTTGGGTCTTCTTCAATCATGAGAAGGGATTACATCAATCTTTCCAAACTCTCACATTTTTACGAGATGCTCTGTGTTGCCAGCTGCACACATAAGTAAGATGGTGCTGTGGTGGGATTAAGTACCCAGAACCTGAGAAGAACAAAGTGACTTGGTCTTCCAGACCCTCTTAACCTCAGTACTTAGTTTAGTGAGCTTAACTGCCCTGTGAAGCCAAAATCATACTCAAAGGCAACATTTGATGGAAAGGCAGATGAAATGAATAGGGGTTAAACAACAATGTATTGAACATGCCTCTTTTGAAAAGGAGGCCCATTCTCATAGTAGAAACCGTCTTTGAGTTTTTTCTATCATATAATGCTAAGAACGGGCTTTCTTCTTCTCTAGCTTGTTTGTAGAAAAGCTTCCCAGCCATCGAGATTACCAGCAGTGTGCAGTCCCCGAGAAGCAGGACATTATGAAGGTATTGTGGGGTCGATTCTCCCCTGCGGGATCAAATGGCCCACAAGTACCCATTACTGCTTCACACCCCCTTCCTTTCCACCTCCGTCTCATCCTCTCGAGAGCGTAAGCACAAAAAATTCATCCCATTAGCCGTGATGTTTCGATTTTTTCTCAGACCTTTAATCATCATCTCTGAGCCAGTGTGGGTTGTCTAATTGAAACTGGGGCTGGGGGAAGGGGAAGGAAAGAAAGAGATAAAAAATGTGTTCACTCACTTTATGGCATGAAGGAGGAATTAGTTCACCATTTCTCCCAGAGATTGAGGGAATGGCTATCTATTTCTCCATACTTGCCCGAGACAGTCATTTTGGCTGGTCTTAATTATCCCATGCAGTCCAGACCCCACGACTATTTGAAAAATCACTGTTGATTATTAAAGTACTAACCTAATAATAAAGTGTTTGGGGGCGGCTTGAAATAACCCCATGGAAAAGGAAGATTGTTGAAATGTATTTATTCTTCATCAACATTTGTAATATATATAGTTTCAAACACCTTTAGCTGAGGATGTTCTTTTTAAATAACACTTAAAAAATGTTTTTTATGCGTTGGTCTTAAATAGTTTGGGTTGATCTTATACGAAGGAAGGTAATATATGCAGAGACAATCACAGCATAAACTTGGAAATAACTCATTATACCATATAATGGAATAAAGGCGCTCTTGCCAGTTATGTAGGGCCTGAGGATGCCTGTAAGCAGAATTCAGACTTTGTCAAATAGTTATTTACACTTTTTAAAATTTCTACACACACTTATCTGAAGGGTCATTCGTTTCCATGCCTCTGTGTAGCATTTCCCCTCAATTCTCGTGTTCATTCAGCCTCAGAGAGCTCTGTATGGAAACCAAAGGTCCCAGGCTGCCAGTGTGACTCATTTACTCTAATTTAGGGTTACTCTTTGTTTTTACTTGTAGGAAGAATTCTACAAAAGCATGTACTTTTTTATTTGTTTATGCTTGTTGAATAAATGGATGGATGGGTGGGTGGATGGATGGATGGATGGATGGATGGATGGATGGATGACAGAAGATTAAGAGAACAGAAGTTTTAGTGGAAGAGCCTGGCTAGAGTCAGAGATTTGTATTCTAGTCATAACAGGGCCAATAGCTAGTTGTATGATACTGGACAAGCCTTTCAGTTTCTCCAGGCCTTTGTTTCCTCAACTCTAAAAAGAGGGGGAAGGGGGATTGTGCTTGGACTATATCAGATTTCTCATCCATTAAGAATCACTGGGAAGTTGTTTGAGATCCAGATTCCCTAACCCCTCCCTTCCAGTAAAGATGTGGATTCAGTAAATTTGAGATTAGGCCTGGGAATTTATATTTTTATGAAAAGTTCCACAGTTCATTTTATAGTCTGTCAAACTTAGGAGTCCTTACCTACCATGTTCCTCGGTGTTCCCTCTAATATGATGACATATCATTTACATACTGTGGGATGTGCAGTTACAAACCCACTACCTCAGAACGGGTACCTAGCTAAACAAAATGCAGATAGACATTGCAAAGGGGATAATTTCTTCTCTTCCCTCCTGAGAAGTTATATTTTGGAGCCCTAGAAAAGAGAGATTTACTTTTTCACCATCATCTTTGGTTACTTGTGTCTTCATTTCTAATCCACATGCCAGCTGTTTTTCTTTCTCAGCTGATGATCTGAAAGACTATACTGAAAATCCCACTAATCAATATGTATATATATTTTTAAAAGAAACTGAAGGAGATTGCATTTCCAAGGACAGATGAATTGAAAAAGGACCTTTTAAAGAAATATAACGTAGAATACCAAGACTATATGCAAAGCAAAGTAAGTTCAATTGGTATATTTATTTCATGACTTTTCTGTGCAAATATACTTGAATTTCATTTCCATATGAGTTTTTTGAATGTCATATGCATTTAAATTAAAAATTAAAGATGCAATGATGTAGCACCAATAAAAAATTCATGTTGATATCCAGGTTAAGCACTTGCACCAAAGATGTGGTATTTTATTTCCCTCCGACATCTAATAAAGCGATGCATTAGAAAATAAATTTCCTACAGTGATTTTAATAGAGCTTTTTGACCAACTCTTGCCAATGTAACCTTGAGCCAGGTGACTGCTCTTCACTGATGAATGGAGGTAGTAGGAGCTTTCCAATGTATCTAATTTGTAGGCCTTGGAAATGTGAGTTCGTTTCTTACATGTTGCAGTCAATATTTCATTGAAGTGGAATTATAATCGTATGAGTGAAATATAACCATATCACCAAGGGGTGATGGCTTCTGGATTCTTATTAAATAGTGAAAATGACAATGATGTCTAAGAGGCTGAAAAGCATCAAAAGAAGAAATTGGTCAGTTTCTAGGATACTCAAGTTGAAAACATGAATTCTTGATGTTTTCAGCTTTATTATAAAGGCTGTTTCGCTTTTTTGGTCCATGTGTATGTGCTCTGGAAGCTGTCACCTTTACTGACTCTCCCTTCAGTTAAGTCTGAACACAGAACTTCTCTGTGTTCTTTGAGCTTAGCCAGAGGTCAGGGTTGAGTGAGGTGTTTTGACAAATTGACAGAGGAAATGTCGAAATCAGAAGATTCCTGCAAGTGTGGATATTGATGATTTGATGTGAACTGTGAAAGACAAAAATGATCCTGGAGGCTCAGATAAAGCAACAGCAAGGGAGAGAAAAGCCCAGTTGAGTCGTCTCCCTTCCATAGTCGGCACTGCGTCTGATCATCCCCTCAGGATTTCCTTGGAAGAAACAGCCTCAGCAGCTGTTGCACAGTCTGCCTTTGGTGACACCAATGACTTCACAGTCCACAGCAGTAGTATCTCACATGAATGACATGTAGACATTTCGGGGGGGGTAGTGTGGCTGCCTTTATGCCTAGGAGAGATGAACAGACACACTACTACCTTACAGTAGCTCCCAAAGTCTAGTTTTCATAAAGTCATTTGGGGAGCTTATTAAAAATTTATATTTTCTTACCTAATAATGCCTGGATATTTGGATAAGACTGGGGAGCTCGGGAATCTTCATTTTTAACAAAAGTCCTGGTTTGTTGTACTAGAGATGATTGGACCACATTTTGAGAACCTTTTCTTATTGATCCCCCTTCTCCATAAAGTCCCAGCAGTATGAGTTGTGGAGTCCGATGCAAAGGGTTCTTGGGCAGCCCTGTCCCAATTCCTGCAGTGATGGGAATGTTCTGTGTGACACTCTCTGATATGGGAGCCACTAGCCACATGGTACTCAAAATGTGGCTAGCTGGATTGAGGAATTGAATTTCAAATTTAATTTAATTTTAATATATTTAAATTTAAATAGCTGCCTATGGCTAGTGGCTACTATATTGACCAGTGCCGTCTAAGATGATACAACCATTTGTTCCACATGGTTTGGACGGTCAGGCTGAGCACACCCTCTTGACCTTGGGTTTCTATTTAAAAGCACAAGGGAGTGGAGGGGACTTGATTGCCATGGCCTGTCTCTGGTAAAATATGATTGGATTTAAAGCTGCTGCCGGAATCAGGTTAAGGGGCTTTGGCCGTGACCTTATATATTTTCCTTACTGTCACACGCATGGCCCTGAGGGCAGATCGCAGTATCTGGCCGCTCCTCTGTCTCCTGGAAGATGGAACGTCTAATCCCAGTGTAATGTTCTTGCCTTGGAAACTAACCTTTTGCTCTGGCAACCACATTTTTTTTTTTTTAGAACAAATATACAGCCGAAATTCTCAAAAAACTGGAGCATCAGCGATTGATCGAGGCGGAAAGGAAGCGGATCGCGCAGATGCGCCAGCAGCAGCTGGAAACGGAGCAGTTTCTGTTTTTTGAAGACCAGCTCAAGAAGCAAGAACTAGCCCGCGTGCAGACGCGAAGCCTGGAGGCGCCGGCGCTGCCCGAGGTCGATGGGAGCGCTCTGTCCTGCTTCTCCGCGCACCAGGACAGTACCTTGCTGAACGTGTTTGCCCAGCAGCCTGACAGGAGCGCCCCCAGTTACGCCAGCCGCTCTCCTCCGGTCAACAGGGCCCTAAAGCCGGCTGCTGCGCTGAGTGCCGTTCAGGGTGAGTGGGCACACGGGCCGGCGGGCCCTGGGCCTCTGCTGCTGGAGCTGCGATGCTGGGACATCTGGGAGGGTCCTCGTTTCATTGTCAGCTGTGCTAGGCCCCCCCCATCATCTGGCCATGCAGACAGAGCTCATCTTTCCCTGCCATATGACTTGTACTCTGTGTAACCTGAAAATTCAGGAAACGTGCTTTGCCCCCTGAGAGAGCAGATAGATTAGGAAATTCAGTTCCTAAAAAATGGGACTGCATTCGGTCATGGTACAGAGATTCTACAAGAGAAGAATTCCAAGCATAATTTTTTTTTTTTGCTTTCATGTATTTAATCAAAGAAACACATGAATCTGAAACACTTACACTGGGGATGAAAAATGTTGAGAAACTTGTTCGTCCAGAGCTTTGCCTGGCGATTTGAATTTAAAGTGTTAGCATTGCCCTGGGCCAGGAAGATCTCCGGCGAGCGGGGAGCTGACCTCCGGATGGGTTATGCGTTTCTGCCGACGATTAGTGCTGCTGCTGCGCCTGCGCTGGCAGGTTTTCGGGATCACACGGGGAGTCCTTCCCGGCAGACGCTGTCGGATGCAGTTTGTGTCTCCATTTATTTTTTTAAAAGTCATGATAGGCAACAAGTTTATAAATTACTCTACTGCTCATTATTTCTGAAAACGTCATCTTTTTACTTTATTATCACCAACTTTCATGAAGATATAAGTAACACATGGGAAACACAGTAAAGAGCCTTCAACCTATGTCTTATAGGATGTGAGAGCTCCTCTGTGCTGCCTGTGACTTAGCAGTACATCGGCTTTGTGCCAGAACAAGACTCGTGCATACATGCAAAATAGTTGATCTAGGGCACGAAAATGCAAAGGCACTTGCACTTTGCCATTTGTTTATAAAATTTATGTGCAAAGGGTAACTTTACCTGCCTTCTAGTCAGTGTTTATTTTTAAGAGTTTTAACTAATACGTGGGAAGTGGAGCACTTGATCATCTCATGTTTGATATTTATATTGATTTGCAGTCGCTTGTCAAAAACAGTTTTGAAGGATGGGATGTAAGATTTGTCTTTCAGCTTCTTCTCCCTTTTCTGTTTCTTAGATTTAGTGGTTGAAGGACTGCGATGTGTAGTTTTATCAAGAGATCTTTGCCACAGATTTCTGCTGCTGGCAGAATCTAATACAGTGAGAGGAATAGAAACGTGTGGAATACTCTGTGGAAAACTGGTATGGTCTTTGTTTCATGTCTCTGCACAGGAAACTTTCCAAAGTACTGACGTTCTTGTGATAAGCAGAGCACAATAAAAGCATCCCAAGAATTGCAAATATTATGAAATTAACTTTACATAGATTGATTTCATAAAACTACTGTCATTATTCATGAATTATCCTTCTAGAAAATGGAAGATAAATTTCAGGGATCACAGGTCTTCAATTTTCAAAACCATCTAGTTTTCTAAGACAAATCTTTGTTGCAATTGTTAGTTTCACATTCACGTATATAGTTAACTCTACCTGCTTTTATCTGTGGGAGGTATCCTTTTGCCATCCCTTTTTCAGATATGTGTGGAATACAACTAGGGTTTTGTTGTTTCTTTTAAAACAGTTGTTTCCACAAACTGAAATCTTATGGCACAGGCCACATTTAGGTATGGAAGATCTTATCAGAAATATGTGATGAAAGACAATGTCAAAATAGAAGGAAATAAAAGAGAAAAGATGCATTTAATTTTCTACTTGCAAGAAAGATGTGCCCTTTCATAGTCTCCTTGGGTGTAAGTTTATATTTCTGGGTCCAGGAACATTTTCAGTCCTAAACATTTAGCTTGGGGACTGTTGCTTAATTGAATACATAGTATGTTTTATTCCACACACATTCTCCTACTGTATTCCGGTGTTGCATCCTGCCTTTTCCTCCAGGAAAGAGGAAGCACAGGTGACAAGCACAGGACAATGACCTGCCGTCTCCTCCCCACAGCCACCTTATTTGCCTTCAGAGGGCAGTGTGCTTGGGATGCTTCCTCTCCAGAACCATATGTTGTACTTAGTTTCATTCCTTCATTCATTGGACAAATACTAAGTACTGTATGTGCCAGATACTGTGCTAGGTGTTGGCATTCAGCAGCCTACCACAGCCACGGTCCGTGCCACATGACCCTTACACAGTGCTTGTAAAGCACCAGACAGATGACTGATGACAAACAGGGCTGGGTGCTCTCAGTGGAAGTGCAGGATCACGGGAATGTGTAACTGGAAAACTACCTTTGTCTGGGAGAGCCTGGGAGGGCTTCCCCGAGAAGGGATGTTTACACCAGGCCTGGAGAATACATAAAGTTAGCCGTGAACAAGGGGCTAGGATGGAGGAAGAGTGGCCAGTTTGCAGGAAAGCCCCTAAGAGCAGAGAGAAGTCTGTGACTTCTAAGGCCACAGAGGGAGCGCTGGGGAGGGATGGACAGCTCCACACAGCACGAGCATCTTACCTGAGCTTCCTACCACCGCTTCACAGACCCTCTTCCTTTCAGCTCGAGGCAGGTCATTTATTTTAGCTTTCTCTTGTTCTAATTGCAAATCCAAAAGATTACCTTCATTATGGAAAATCCCAGTGAGTCTAAGTCTTGAAGTGAAATAGAATATAATTAAAACAAAAGCAAGACCATCAACCCCCCAAACCCTTACAAATGCCCTTCATTAACGCCACAAAATTAGTGAACTAGTCTTTCCCCCTCTAAATAAACCCACTATTATTTCGTTCTGATTTTTCCATTATAGATGTAATCTATCAGAACATTATTTATTAACTAAACTGCCATCGACTAGCCAGGGATGCTAATTCCTAGTCATGGTACATTTTCTATTCTGAAAATGGTTTTCAGGCTCCAACTGCTGACTCCGATTTTTGGCAGATAATACGTTTTCTAGTTTGGTACCTGTACTTTGTTTTGAATTGTTATGGGGAGGGGGGAATGATGATACATGTCGTGGGGCAGAAAATTCAGAATGATACGTATATTTGTCTGCCAGATGCTTCCTTTTTTCCCTCTGTCAATAAATGATTCTTCTTGCTAATTGTTTTTTAGACGCATAACGAATTAACTATTACCCATGTAATCGTGCCAAAGCAGTCTGCAGGCCCAGACTATTGCGACGTGGAGAATGTAGAGGAATTATTCAGTGTTCAGGACCAGCACGACCTCCTCACCCTGGGGTGGATCCATGTACGTTCAACCTTTGGGTCTCAGTTGTGTGTGTGTGTGGCGGGGGGTGTATGTGTACTATTTTCCTCCCTTGAGGAACGTCAGCTTAATTTAAATCCTTCTTTTTAATTTTTTTTCAAGTCATCACATTAAAGCATTTTCTTCATTTTTAGGCTGTGTCTAAATCTGAATTTGGTGAGGGTTATATTGTGCAGTTTTTTTCTAGCAAGTTAAAAGAGGGAGAGACATTTGGAAATTAGTGACTCGTTTTGGTGATTTTTTTACATAGTGTAATGGAGGCCTAGTGAGATTTTTAACAAATTTATCTAGACAATTTTTAATGTTCCCGTTTCCTTTAAGGAAATTTTGGAAAATGTTTTTTTTAGAACAGGTTTTTGTGCATTAAATAGGGACCATGTACTCCACTGCACCTCATACAGATCAGTGACGTATAAACTGTATAAACAAGCCATGGAGAAGGGCCAAAGGATGGAGCCAAAAATATTGGATTTTACCATCCACCAGGACATCACAGGAACAAGAAAGGGCTTAGGAATTAAAAGACATGAGTTTAAATCTCATTTCCACTAAGAATCATTATAGGAACTTTGGCAAGGTTTTTAAGCCATCTGAGCATCAGATTTTCCATCTATAAAACAGGGATCATAATAATTAACTTAAGGTGATGGTGAGTGTTAAATGAGATAATGTCAGGGAATGTCTTAGCGCATTTTTTCTAGGGACTCAGAAAATTGCAGTTGTTCGTTTTGGTGATAATACTCTATTTTTGTATCCTCAGTTTAACCTATCTGGTGGATGTTTTCCATTCAGTCTCACACATCTGGGCCTGGGGTAGGGACAAGTCATCCATGCCACTGTGATGGGATGCTGGCCAAGATTTCTAGGGCACATCATGGGGACTTTTAAGAGCCCCTGAAGAATGATGTGACCATTTTTTTTACTTGCTTTAAAGGGCAGGACGCCCACCCACTCCTACACACATATGGCACCCACAAACTCACCAGGCATTTGGTGCTCTGTAATTTAGGAGGGGAGAGGCGACTTCAGTCTCAGCTCCACCTGTAAACTACCATGTGCCCTTGGTCAGGACTCCTAACTTCCTTGTTTCCAGGTTCCCTCATTGACCAGGTGGGGCTAATGCAAACCTTCTCTCCCTCACCAGATTTGTGTGAACTGTAAGCAAGATACCAGGTTTGAAAGCCTTGTGAAAAGTATATACTGCCTCTCAAATACAAGAAATTATTTATAATGAAGAGTTTGCAAAACATTCCATATGTCTATTTGTTTTACTTAACAGTAAGTAATGTGCCTTACTGTTTGCTTAGAAATTGCTGAATTTTAAAGGTGTTATTTTCTGTAACAAGAATGTATTTTAAAGCAAAAAAAAAAAAAAATTGTAGCAAAGAAATTGTAGCATAAACTTAGACAGAATAGTTTATTAAATTTACTTACATCAGGAAGTCAGTGTTCCTTTCTTATAAAACATTTCCCAAATTAGAAATAAAAGTGTTTCCCTTATGTCCTGTGTATATAATGTATGCAATAATGAAGTTATACCATTTACATAATGGATTTGGCATAATTCTAGAATTCCAGGATTTTGCTTTTTGTTTATTTCACCATACCAAATTGTTGCAGTTCAACGAAAACACTAAAGTGTTATATGTCTAAACTTCAGTGGTTGTAATGACTTTTTGTGAGGATTTTTTTCTTGGCATAATAATAGCAACAAATTCCCCAGCTAACTTTTTTCAGATATAAATTAGTTGCAGGAAAGAAGGGCTGAGTCAGAATCAGACAGATCTGGAACTGAGTTTAGACTTCGCAGCTGAACTAGCTCTATGACCTTCAGTGTGTTATTAACTCTTCTGCTTAGCTCAGTTTCCTCATCTGTAAAATGGGGGTAATAATAACTTCTCTCATCTTGTTGTAAGAATTGAATAATTCAGGGAAAGTGATTAGTTCAATTGCAGTAAATGATATCAGCTGCTATCATCATCATCATTTTTAAAATATATATATATCTTTATTGATTTTAGAGAGAGGAAAGGGAGAGAGAGAGATAGAAACATCAATGATGAGAGAGTCATCATTGATCAGCTGCCTCCTGCACACCCCCGACTGGGGATCGAGCCTGCAACCCGGGCCTGTGCCCTGATCGGGACTCGAACCGCGATCGCCTGGATCCTAGGTCGATGCTCAACCGCTGAGCCACACCTGGCCGGTCTTCATCATCATTTTTATTTCCGTAGAGGAAGTGGGGAAGTGGGGAGCACCATTCCCTCATGGAGCAGTTGTCCTCACGGAGTAGACGTGATTCCTCCTGGCAGCAGCAAAGGGCTCCGAATGTCTTAGGTGCATTCAGTCTGGAAAGAATGTGACAGGTAGAGTGGCCTGTCCTACTGGACAGTCTGCTCGCCGCCTCCAGAGCACCAGAGTGCCTTTGAACATGTCTTACTTTCTCACTGAGGCATAGAAGGCTCTCTGTACCAAGAGAAGGTTTTCACTGAAGTAGATGACAGGCAGCTAACAGATAATAAAGATTTGGGTTTTAAAAATTAGACAATTTCCATTCCTCAGTTGGTCTAGGTCTTTGCAGACCAAGACTTATTTTTTCCTTGCAGAACATGGATCTTTCTGTAAATAGATATCAATGGATTTTATCTTCATTCTAGTAAATAAAGTAGAAAGGAGTTTTAATATTTTACATTTCTTGAACAAACCATAGTTATACATAATGGCATGAAGCTATTTCTATGAGCCTGTGCCCATTAGTTATGACAACATTAAAGAACAACAGCAGTAATAACAGAGAATGGTTTTGATTCCTTTCTGTGTGCTAGGCGTTTTTCTAAGCATTTTACATGGATTGTCTCATTTAATTTTCATAATCCCATGAAGAAAATGATTCTTATTTTACAGTTGATGAGATGGGCATGAAGAGGTTAAGGAATCTTCTCAGTGTCATACAGCTAGCGGGTGATGGAGGCGGGACCCAGACAGTGCGTGCCAAGGACCTTGGTTTCGTGATTTAAACGGTCACATTCCTTTTGCAAGGGTAGTTGGACTTGACTGTGAATTTTAAAATCATTATGGGAGCATGTGTTTTTCGTATCCAAGTATGAACCTCTGATTTGTCTCTCATAAACAAAAGTATATAAATAGTCTCAAACCTGGAAGATGATTCTTTTAATTTAGGATCTCTTCCTTCTCACCACGTACGTATTTACGGGCTGTGCACTCTGAGTCCCAAATACCTTCAACAACCTGGAGAGTTCCAGTCTCCCGTTTGTAGGGAAAGGCGAGCCACAAATGGATGGCAGCACCGTGTGGTAAACTTAGTGGAAACTTTCCTTTTGTGTCCATGGTTTTGTATAAAACATCCAGTCACAGCTCTGCCCCTGACCAGCTGTGTGACCACGGGCAAGCTTAAAGGAGCCCCAGGATCCTTGTATGTGAAATTGAGGTAATAATAGAGGTATCTCCTGGATGAGCTGCGATGAAATGAAAATCTCCTCAAAGCCTCTGGCAAATTAATTTCCAGTTCCCTCTTTTCTAATAAGCAGAGAGGACATGAACATGCCCAAGAACCTCTTCTCAAAGTCAGAGTTATTCCAACGATGCAAAAAGGGAAGGCATATGTCAGCAAGACGTTTTTAAAAATTCATATTTGATTAATAATGATAAAAAAGGGAAGGCACATAGAATGGGCTGTGGCCTTAGCTGAGACTCAGCTACCCCAATAAGATCGTCTTCTTTTCTTTTTATAGACACATCCAACCCAAACTGCATTCTTATCCAGTGTTGACCTTCACACTCACTGCTCTTATCAGCTCATGTTGCCAGAGGCGATTGCCATTGTGTGTTCACCGAAGCATAGAGAGTAAGTGTCACTGTGGAGGGACTCGGCTTTGTCTGGAGCTGCTGGGTCCAGGTGTGTCCACAGACCAGGTTGTGGTCCTCGAATAGGCAGGCACACCAGGCCCTTGGGAAAAAAAGGTTGGTGACAGCCAGTTCCCATGTACCTGCAGCTCTATCGTCTTGCCTTTCAAGGTCCTTTTCAGTGGTAGAATTACTGGTTCTCTTTCTTCAGTTCCCATGACCTTGAAGTGGAGAAACTGGATGTTACTATTCCAGTTTGCCCATTTGAGATTTTAGTTCTACTGTGCTATTTCCTGTTGTAGGAAAATTCCCAGCCTGAGTTTCATTGTCTCCAAAACCTTCCCAGGTTTGGGAGACCATTTTTGTTGTTGAGTGAATAGAAGCAGAGGACACATGAAGTTGTGTAGGAATCCCGTCTCCACCCTCAAGTGGTGTGCCTGGTGGACACCCGACCACCGGGAGGCTCGGTCTCTTCATCCCTGATACCTGCCCATCCGGGATGGACGTGAGGCTGAGACTAGAGATGAGAGTCTAGCACAGTGCCTGGCACCACAGCCAGCGCTCCATAAATATTTGCTGTTGCTGCCACCACTGTTACTGTTTTTAGAACAATCAGAAATATCTGCCATCTGCAGTTTTCTCCGTGGGGCCTTAGCTTTATCTCTGTGGTTTCACCTAGCAGTTCAGCTGCATCTTGCCCATGACAGTCCTGCAAGTGCTTGGATTTAGCACCAGCCCCTCCACTGTTTCTCTCCTCTAGCTAAGCCAGTCATCATAAGATTGGTTCAGAAAATCACCACGGAATTCCTAGTTTGTGGTGCCTCGCTCCATCCCATTTGAAGGATATGTATGCTTGTGCCATTTGAATAAAGCCTCTGGAAAGCCCAATGAGCCTTCATTTCTGCCCCTTTCCTTCACCCTGAAACAGCACTGGCATCTTCAGGCTCACCAATGCCGGCATGCTTGAGGTCTCCACCTGTAAGAAGAAGGGTTTCCATCCACACACCAAGGAGCCAAGGCTGTTCAGCGTGAGTAGACACAGTTGGTTATTTTTTGCAGATACTTATTTTTTTACCTCCTCTGTTGTTGTTTTTTTAGCGGTATAATATGAGATAACATATTACACTGCTTAGTTTGAAGTTTTCTTACCCAGAAAATTAGTCATTCTTTGTAATTTCTTCTGACTAATAGTTTATTTATGAGTTAATGTCAGTATTTCTCTAAGAGAGTTAAGCTAAGTTACCTTTCCATTCATGGATCTGTGTGATACTGAAGTACAGTTTTCTTCAAACGCCAAGTAAGCAAACAATTATTAAATAAAATGATATTAAATGTCTCATGAATGGTTTCCACTCAATGTGGCCACATTAATTTTTTTCATAGTAGTTCAAAGAAAACTGTGATCGTACTTTGTTAGCTTTGTATAGCCCTGAAGAAACGTTATTTGACTACAACTTTTCTTTCTAACTGATCCTTTGGTGGTTCTCTTGCTGTAACATCTGAGAATGATTATTTTGAAGTTAGTATTTATTTAAAATGAAAATTACTTGGCAATCTCTGTAAATACTATTTGTTGAAAATGGATAAACATGAGTGCATTTGTCCTGATTGGAAACATTTTTAAACTTAGGAACATTTTTAAATTAGGAAATTCATATTCCCTCCCTAAAGAGGATTCTGTTAAACATTGTGATCTAAAGAATTTTTTTCTTTCCTAGGTATGTAAACACGTGTTGGTAAAAGACATAAAGATAACCGTGCTGGATCTGAGGTGATAGGTTCTGAAGATTAGCACCATCAACACCAGACACCTGCCCATGGACATGTGTTTGCTGAATTTTCTTAAGATGTTTCCAGAAATGTCTGATATTTTATATTTATACATTTTAGATCAGAAAGTTTGATATTTATTGCTCTTGCGCGTTTTGAAGGTTTCTTTCTGGGTTGCTCTGTCTTAAGAGTGGTCACAATAATATAAAATCAATACCCATTAATGTAACCAAATACTATGACCAGATAATAAATTGTGCTGCAAACAATAATATGACCAGTGTTTAAAGAGGTCTCTGCACACATTTTCAGAGCTTTAGATGTTTTGCTGTATTTTTTTCTCATTCCTATAAAATACAATTCCAAACCAGAAACCCTGAGTAGCAGGTGGTCCTCAGGACAGGCCACCTGCTTCTGCAGCCTTTCCCTGTGGTAGAAAATGAACCGTTTCCACATGTGAGAAGAAACATGGGTGCATACGGTGTGCAGATGCTAAGCAGTGGAGGACAGCTTTGCTCAGGGAGACTGGGTTGGCTGTGGAGCTGGACTTGCAGAGTTAATTTGCCCGTAGCTGGTGGTGTCTGTAGACTCAAAGCCCCGTGTACAGGGCGAACCAAGCTCTGCTTCTATAGTCTGCCTACAAGTTGTCATAAGGCAGAAACAAGCCACTGAGCTACCCATAGCAGGCACTTCATGCATGAGAACTGGAGCAGAATCTGGGTGGCACAGTACCAGGATGCGGAGTAGACCAGTGGGGGAGGAATGTTGTCTTTTCCACAAACAGAGTACAGGGAATACCCCTCTTTACAAAACAGAAATCATTGAACTTCTTAGTGGGTGTTGGTACATGCAAACAAGGTCATTGAGGCAACTCAGGTATAAAGCCGGGAGGAAAGCAAAGACTGGGAAAGCTGTGGTTGGCATACAAGCCACCGACTGTGGAAAATTAAAATTATTTACTCAAGTTAGTCATTGTCCGGGTGGGTCCTGGATGGAACAGTGGAATGAGTGGTGTATCGATGTTCTTGGGTCTGAGATGATGCTTAAAATTCCTCTCCACAGCTTTTGCAGAAGGAAAAGCGTTTACAGATTGTTCAAGAAATAAGGAAGCTCCATTATGTTTCCTCCGAATATAATCGCTGATGAGCCAGAAAAAGAAAACAAGCAGCTAGATGACATTTGCTCAATTCCTGACTTTAGGCCAGGTTTCCTTACCTACGGAAATGAGGCACGTGAATCACTGATTCAGCAGGTTCCTGTCAGCAATAAATTTTTTTTACCTATCCAAGTTTTTTCCAAGGAAATACATTATTTTTTAATCACTTTTATTAGAAAAAATGACTTACTGAGATGAAATTCACATAAGATAAAATTAACTCTTTTGAAGTGAAAATTTCAGTGACCTTTAGTAATTCACAATGTTGTGTTACCACCACGTCTCCCAGCCACTGGTAACCGATCTGCGTTCTGTCTCTACCGAGTCACCTACTCTGGATATTTCCTACAGTTACAATCATACAGTATGTGAATTTTTGTGTCTGGCTTCTTTCACTCAACATAACATTTTTTGGAGGTTCATCCACGTTGTACCCTGGAACTGACATCAGTGCTTTGTTCCTCCTGTGGCTCACTAGTACTCCGTCCTGTGTGTTATCCATACCATATGCCCAGTGATGGACGCGTGGGCTGATTTCACCCTTCGGCCAGTTTGAATAGCGCTGCTACGAACATGTGTGTACTGTACTTGTTTGAGTATCTGTTTTCAACTCCTTTGGGTATATATTTAGGAATAGAATTGCAGGGTCATATGTAGGTTAACCTTTTGAGGGGCTGCCGAAGTGTTTTCCACAGCAGCTAAACCATTTTACGTAGCAACATGTAAGGGTTCCAATTTCTCCATGTCCCCGACAACACTATTTTTTTTTAATTATAGCCATCCTAGTAGGTGTGAAGTGGTATCTCATTGTGCTTTAGAGAGAACCATACATTATGAAGTTAATGCTTTTAAAGTCCGATTTTGACAGTAAAATCAGAGTTGATGAAGATGCCGGAGGCTTCTAGAACCCACTGTCATCACTCGTGGGTCTCCAGTCCTAGGCCTTTATCAAGTTCATTGGAACTACAAGTAGAAGCAGAGTTTTATTTTATCAAGAACTGTCGACTCTTTTGACTGGGTAGGATTAGAAATACAAGAGAGCAGCCAACAAGAATCACCACGCTCTGAAAGACTGCTGCCTGCCACTGGGCTCCATGCTTGCTATTATAAGTAATGCTGCAATGAACATGGGGTTGCATATAATCTTTCAAATTAGTGTTTTAGGTTTCTTCAGACCCAGAAGTGGAATTGCTGGGTCGTAATTGGCACGAAATATTTAACTTTTTTAAAAATATATATATATTTATTGATTTCAGAGAGAGGGAAGGAGAGAGAGAGAGAGAGAGAAACCTTAATGATGAGAGTCATTGATCGGCTGCCCCCTGCACAACACCCCCAACTGTTGGATGGAGCCCGCAACCCAGGCAAGTGCCCTGACTGGGAATCGAACCCCGATCTCCTGGATCATAGGTCGATGCTCAACTGCTGCGCCACGCCCAGCCAGGCTTGGATCTGACTCTTGAAGCCTCTACTTATGCACCAACTCAGGAAGCCTTCCCCTGATCCCCTGGCTATGTAAGAGCCAGTAGCCCGTATGTTTCCACTTTTGTTACCATCGCAATACACCTGAGCTGCGGCTTAATGTCCACCTGCCTCTCTAGACTAGTTCCACCCAGGCAAGACCTTGCCTTCTTCTCTTCATGCCATTCACACCGTCCCTCTCCTAGCTCTTCAAACACACTTGAATTCACTTGGCTCTCCCAGGAATAAACATTTAAACATCTGCTTTTTATATTCAGACGTGGAAGAACAACATCCCATTTCTATTGCCTTTTTTTTCTGAGTGAGCTTAGTTACAGCAATGGCTTCTGGTTGGCTGGGAGCTGTGTTGGCCCTGAGAGCCACCTCCCTCACTACCGTGGAAAATTCTTCAGGCTGCCCTGTGTCGTAAATCCTACTGAAGAGACTCGCGCTCGGCCCAGCTGCACAGATGCTGCTGCATTAACAACAGAATTATTCACTGAAAAAAAATAAGTAACACTTCCTCCCATGCATCTGCTCACAGCAAAGGCGGCGTGAGGTGGGCAATTTCACTGTGAACCCACTTCACCCTCAGGTTGCATGCGCCTACTGTGGGACGAAGGCTGTTAGGGCCTGGTGTGCTGCTGTTAGGGGAGAGGAGAGGAGTCAGGAGGCAGCCACATCTCTGGTTTCATCTCCTGAGATTCCTGTGAGGCTAGTCAATGAGACTGCCGCTTGCTCAGCCCTTCAATCTTGTGTCACCAAGGAGAGGAGTTGTAGATTCATGATGGGAGAAGGTGTGTGGGCACTGCAGCCGGGTGCTCACAGGAAAGAACATTTCGCTAAGGCGCACTCCCTGGGCCGTTCTGGTTTTCCTGATTTTTGCCTCTGGCCATGCCTGTTTCTGACTCTGAGATGGCCAGGCACCCACTCCTTTACCAGGGAGCTCGTGCCCTCTAGTGGGCACCATGAAGTACAACAGTACACAGACTCCTATTACTGCAGTAAACCCTGCAGTGATTGATGACTGGAATGGTTGGTGCTTTTTGCTTAGATTACGAAAGTTTCTAAGTAATAGATACCTGTTGCAGGTATCTATACACTAATCATTCAGTTTAACTCTAATGGGTATGAAGTTTCCTTGCCCGATAAGCATACATTTGCAACTGGAAAATATCCCTCAATCATAGCATGTTACAGTGGTTCACAAATTTTGATGTGCTAAAGAATCACCAGAGAAATCTGACTAAAACTCAGCTTCTTAGCCTCAGCTCTAGAGGTTCTCGTTCAGCAGGCTTTGGATATGGCCCAGGAATCTGCCCACTTAAAATGAGCCCCTGATGAGGTTGACCTTCGTGGCCTGTTCTTTGAGAAATGCTGGCCTAATGGCTGAGTATGGGCTGGGCAGCAAGCTCAAGTATGACATTATGTATGTTCCTTAACCACTCATAGTCTCAGCTGATCCATCTGTAGAAAGGCAGTAAGGATACCCACTCCATGGGGCTGCTCTGGGATAAAATGAGATCCTAATATAAAGGGCTTAAAGGTACAGGACCTGGTCATGATAGGTAGCCAGCACATGCCAGCTCTTATTATTTGCAGCATTAACCCTAATTTGCTCAAACTACAGGGCCAGGGGAAGCTTGGATTGTCTAGACCAAATAAGCATTAAATCTTAGGCCCTGAAATCTCTACAGTGAGATGCTGCCACGGACAGAGACCCTCCCTCAAGCCCAAAAATAATCAGTGGCTGCTGATCCCACTCTGTCGTTTTCACACAGAAGGACTAGCATCTCCCTGCTGGGGAGCTGCCCAGGATGCTAAATGGCCTGGGTAGGAAAGTGCTTTGAGATGAAGATCCTTAAGGGCATGGAGGGTATTTTTATACGTCTTTATACCTCCCAGCTCAGATGAGGAAAAGAGAAGTTGAAGTTGGCAGCTCTGTTCCTTCATCTATGAAATGAACATGATGATATTTTCATCACATAGTTCTGAAGAACAAATGAGTGAGGTTATATGTAAAACCCTTAGTATGATGATTTCCAGTGGTCCTTGGAAAGTATGGTCACCTGTCCCATTCCTTCTGGTGAAAATATATCTTTAGTATCCTTTTCAGAGTAAGAGATTGATCAGAAGGAAAAAAGATCATCCAGATGTGTAGTGAAATTTTAGAACAGTGTTAAAGGTTTTTCAGATGGTTCCCCTAATGAACTTAAAATTTATATACTCTCTTAATATATAGTTATTGTTTAATATAACACATATTAAAAGTCATTTATGTGTATGTATAATACATGTATGAATGTATGTATACACACACACACCCTGCACACACACGCCCATTAGGCTAGCTGAGGTTTTAAGAGAGCAAAGTAATATAATGACTCAGCAAGTTGTGAAGTCAGTGTGGATTATCCTATTGATACACTTTATGTTTATATTTATTTCCTGTGTATTTTCAAATTCTTTCCACCGATAGCATTTAGTTGGAACTTCCCATGTTAATGTGATTCTACCCTTTCCTGGGAAACACACACATCCTAGACATGTCACGTACTCAGCTGCACCACTAGAGGGAGCCACTGTGAAACCGGTGACAAATAACGAGACAACTAGGTGCTGATCAGAGGACAAGGCTGCAGGTTACAGGTAACA